CTTCCCATTCCACTGGCTTATCTGATACGATGGCCACAGCATTAGGGGACTGACTCCCCCTGAACAGTGGTGTGACAGACCCCATCTCATCAGGCCAAGTGCTGATGTGCTGTCAAGAGTTGAGGCAGTGTAGCTCTGGCTTTGACCACTTATTAGCTAGATAAGCAATACAGTTCTTGAAACCTCTTTCCACATCTGCAAAATGAAGATAATAGTTCAGGCCTGTGGTAGGGCGTGAACAAAGTGGCTTGTGTCCAGCGTAGGTCCAGTGCTCACTCTGACAAGGCTTTTAATTCTGACCGTCAGTTTCCTCACCAATAAAATGCAAGATTGATAACTGAATTTGTGCTTGCTGGCTGTAAGGAAGCGCGAGCGTGTAGCGTAAGTCCCTTCCTGCAGCGCCAGCGCACTGCTGCCCTCCGCGAGCCCTTTGGCTTCCGATTGTGGCTTGGATCATACACTCAGGACGTGTTTCCTTGTAACACAACTTTCTGTCTATTTAAATGTTTTATAAAATGTGAAAAAGACTCCTCTTGCTTCTGCTTTAGTTTTTTTAACTAACAGAATGAGCAGAAGATTGAAAAATTATTTAAAAATTTCTTCTCTGTTCCCCTTTGTTGCAGATAAAGGAGATGGGTGAGATCCACAGAGAGCTCAATGCATAACTTCTGTAACTTGAAGATTTACCACAAGAAGGGAAATTAGCAAAAGGATTACAAATGCGTGAACATAGGACAAAATGATGTCTGAGTATTGCTGTGTTGTTAGTTAACATTGTATATTTGTTTTGTTTTTTTTGCGGAACTGGGGATTGAACTCAGGCCCTTGCACTTGCCAGGCAAGCGCTTATTCAACTGAGCTATCTCCACGGCCCCAACATCGTACATTTATAATAGAGAAACTTGTACTGAAAAGATAAGCAGCTTGAAATTAGCACTAGCAACCCTAGAGTCTGAGCATTCGTGTCCCAGGTATGCAGATCTAATGTTAAAGCCCAGGACGTGGACTGCGTAGTTGAAATACGTGGAATGTACGAGAGTGCTTTCAGCGTGCTTCTGCAATAGAGTCTGACCCATCACTGTCCTGCCTGTGGTTGAAAGCTGCCTTTCGGGTTACTTTGAGTCTTGTATTGTACATACGAACTTTTTTATGTAGGATGAAATAAAA